CTTTTGTTAATATAAATTTAAGTAGAATTGGAAAAAAAGCAGAGTAAAAGAATAGGAAATTCGCAGGTGGATTGGTGTTATAAAACATATGTGATCTTACTTCTATTTTGTTCTAGGAAAATTATGTTGTGTGTAAAAGTGTTACTAAGTCGTCAACTGTTAAACCGAGATTGTTCATCCCTTCTTCAGATGAGATATTAAACCAAGGTCCCATCTGCCTGTTCAGGTAGACATGAAAGATCCCATGGCACTATTTGAGAAGAGATTTTCTTCCAGTGTCTGCCCTGGCCAATAAACCCAAAAATAAATTTGGTGATTTATTTCATGGCTGTTTGTGGGACATTGCTGTATGTAACTTGGCTGCTACATTCGCCTACTTTGCTGTATATCTTGTGGAACGCTTTCTCCCGATGTGAAAGGCTATTTCACATGTAAGAAATAGACTAATCTTACATAGGGAAAAAATAAAATTAAAATGAATAGAAATCTTTAAGAAAAATTGTTTCCTTTGTCTGGCTCTTTTAAAAAGAGCTCAAAACTTTTACTAATTTAATTTGTTATTAAAATACTTCACTCTTAAGGACTGTGCTGTTATATTGTTTTCAAAACTTTAAGGTTTTTTAATTGAAACAATTTGTAAATTGTCATCAATCTGCAATTTTAACCTCCTTCTGCCACTTTTTAGAAACAATGCATAAGACTAGTTGAATACAATTCCTTTCAGCATGTTTTAATGCTGCATTCAGATTGTGCAAATATGAATCTGATTTAAAGTTAATAGTTCTTGAGAATGCACCAGCCACAGCTGAAACAATTCCATTCCCTGCTCTGATATCACATCACTCTTTCTGTGCACCGACAATTTCATGAGTGGATCCTTAACACTCTTATGCTCATGCAAAAAAATGGGAAAGGGTGGGGGGGAAGGAAGGAACGATTTTTGACAGGTAAATTTAGTAGGTGCGGCAATGTGAATGTTACAATGGGTTTCCCAGTGTAAACTCACATCAACGATGCTGATAAGAGTACTTACCAGTAAGGTCAATAAATGCACGAGTGATTGGAAAGATAACCGTGTAGGGCTTATGTACATACATTGATCCCAACTTAAAACATTAATGAAATAAAATAATTAAAACATTAAAAAAAACTTAAGAGTCCTGCAAGCCAGTTTAAACAAAAAATTCAAAAAAAAAGCATTCAATTATAATTCATACACCTATTTGTTGCTTCACTGTTTAATCATATGAAATTTAGTCAGGTGTTCCTGGAGGAAGGAACATTGTAACCAATGGAACCTGGCACCAGTCCTCTATATAATAATAATACTTGCATTTGATATAGCGCTTATCACATCTTTGAGGTGTCTCAAAGCGCTTCACAGAAAATATTGTTAAGTAAATTGACGGTAGATTTTGTGAGTCAAACTTGGTGGGGATACAGAAGATGGTAATGAAGTGGCCTGAGTTTGAAATGTGCAAAAAATGGATTTGTAGGAGTTCTGTAGCTCAGTGGTTAGAGCACTCACTTTGCAAGCGAGAAACCTGCGTTTGATTCCCAGTAGGGCGAAACCTTCAGCAGGTTTCCTTACTCAACACGCCTGATAATAATCCTTCAAGAAAATATAAATAAAATAATAATAATTTGGTCACTCAATCCGCAACTATTTATGAGACACTGTTGTGCACAATTGGCAGCCGTGTTTCGCACACAAAATATACAATCAATTCACTTTACAGTGTATTCTGTGAAGCGCTTAGAGATGTCTAGAAGATGCGACAAGGCGCTATATCAAATGCAAGGATTATTATAATTATTACTACAAGAACGGTATTCTTAAAACATCCTTGAAACATAGGCAGCTGGTAGCAAATGAAATTTGCCCCAAATGACCCTCCATTTACTGCTCACAGATTTAAAAATATTATTCTTCTGTAATATATGAATAGATGGTCTGAGATTATCCCAGTGCTACCCTTCTGTGGTTTAATGAACAGCTGATTTAATTGCAATAATTTCTGAACACTTTGAAGATTGTCTTAAAAAAATCTTATCAACTGTGTAGGAGGTCACTTCCACTTCAAACTGCAATGGAATTCAAAGTGAAGAGTGTCCTATTTATTTCATGTGGCTTAAAAAAGGAAATTCCAAAAGAATGTTTGAAGAGCATGGGGCTCAAAAGAAAATGTTTTTTTTAAAGTTGTATTAAAGATTGAACAATCTCCTGGGGTCCCTGTGCTGTCACCTACTTCATGAATAATTTCAATAGGAAACCCACCTAACTGTCATCATAAAGTGCCACGAGTTTGAGCCTGACGTTTCATAGTACTGCGTTCCAACTGGCCGAACAGCATGCAATCAAACTTGATTAAGGAGAGCCAGATCAGAGGTAAATCACATAAATTGCTACAAAATGTGATGCTGTGTCTCAGTGGTCCTTTGCAGAGACCAGCTGGAAAAAAGTGCTCTTTATTATTTGAGCCCAAGCACTTATGCTTCACATTGCAAACAGTAATATTGGGAACAGCCTGTCATATTGGGAGAGCAATAGTATGGCAAATTGAAAGGATGTGCCAATCCTCAAATCTTCAGTAATGGTTGGGGAGAAGGACATGTTGTTATTGCGTTGATAAGAGAAAACTACACTGGTTCTGAGTTTGATTAAGTGCTTTAAACATGCAAGTAACCAACACTATATTGGGTAGCGAGTGTGTTCAAAATAACACTCCCACCATTTATTTACTTCCTGGCCCATCATTCCAATCCCCTCCTGCATTCATTTTATAGGTGGCCATTAAAGGTCCTAAGACACACAAGAAGAAAAGGAATTTCCCTCATTGCTGTGAACAATAATCCTCCGGATACATTGTCATTTGGCTCACGCCTGCAGGAATAAATGAGATGTCATTTTTGCTTGAAAACAGTCTCTACCATTAATTACTATGGTGTTTTAATATAAAGTGACAGCTACAAAAATACAACTTTCTCTTTCTTCTGGTTTCTCTTTTTTCAATTCCTCCCTGGTCTCCTGAAGACACGGCTGAAGTTGCCATGCTATGACTTTGAGTAACCAGTTGTAGTACAGCAGATGTTAATTAAATGCATTACTTGGAGCTCACAAAGGACAACTAGGAGGTTCAGAACAGAGATTCGAAGGAACTCTTTCACCCAGAGAGAGGTGGGAATGTGGAATTCTTTGCCATAGTCAGTTGTTGGGCTAGCAACCATATGCTCATTCAAAAAAATACTGGACAAAATATGGGACCAGGGATAGGATTTAGGATGGCCACTCATGTGTCTATGAGGTGTACATTCTATGAATCGCAGAGATACAAGGTCAACAAAGGCAGAAAGTGGGCTGTGAAGGCCTTACTCCTATGGTCTTAATAGAGAATTCCACTTTTATTCTGTTTATACCAAAAATGATAAAAAGATATTTGTTGATTTTGTGCTCACAGCTGCTCGGGGAATTTACGCCGCTTTCGGTCCATCATAAAGCAGCTGCTACGCGAGAAAGTGTTTGTTTCACAAGTGCTCCCTCTGCTCCAATGGAAAATAAAAACATAACCAATAGGACCTGGCTAGGTCTACAGAAATCCTTCATGTGGCCTGCTGAAAATTATTACATTGGAAAAAATTGGCATCCAAACCATTCAATGATTATTGGTGTTTCAGTGGCTATTCATGGTTTATTGTCTCAATTCAAACAGTGTTATTTTGTGAAATGGCACTGAAACGCCACACTGAAAATACAAACTGAAACCGTGACAACAATGGGAAACCTCATTACGCAATTTTCAGCCCACCTAGACCGATAAACCCTGGAAAAGTTAAACTACTTACATAAATACAACCTACAACACAACATAGGCCAAAAATGTAACTTCCAGCGATTGAACAGGCGAAGGCCAAAGCCTCTGGTATGATTGTTGTAAGTTAATTCTTCAATTTAGGAAAGGATGACTTTTAGTCCTTAGTCAGATAAACTCCATGACTGCAAAATTAAACAAAAAAGTATCTGGAGCCCAATGTAGGATCTATGATTTACAAAAGAAAATTCTTGCCATAAGGCAAAAACAAAATGGCAGTGATAGGATCCTGAGTGGATTAAACCACTTACCTGCCATCTGCTTGGCAAAAACAGTCTTTAAATAACGAATGTTGCACATTTTACACCATTATTTCAACGTCTCTGTCACATACCAATATCAGTGAATCACTGAGGTCAAGTTCTGCCACAGCCCAACCTTAAATGGATTATTCCTTCATAAAGATTATAAATAGAAAGCTTTGACTGAATTTCCATACTCGTTTCGTATTTTCGATTCGTTGGTTTGTCTATTGGAAAGTCAATACATCCATGTTGTGGAGCTGAAGCTTCAGTCATAATCTCAACAAACTCATTGTTAACAGTTTCTTAGCTAAAGCATAATCCAGGAACATTAAAACACTCAAGTACTGAAGTGCAGATATTTCAACAAATACTGATTCACAAATAAAACGTATGTAACTGGAACACAATCAAATGCAAGGATTATTATTATTATTGATATTTGTCCTCAATGTTGTTCAGACATTTGTCAGTCTAGAGAATACACCAGGAAGTAATCTAAACAAAACCACATATAAGATTAGCTACTGGGGAATGGAGTTTGTGATCAAACATTTTCCCCCTCAAATTAAAGACATTAGTTTCTGAACACTTGCTCAATCTTTTCAACATTGAATTGATTTTAAAAAAAGGAGTGAATGCAAAAACCATGAAAGAAATGAGACAGTACAGGAAATCCATATGTTCTGCAGTAGCACTCTTTCACTTTCTACTTGGTGGCCTGGTTGAATCAATCTGCTTGTACACATTGAGTCCACAATGACTGTTGCTGGATCATGTTCAGTCCATGATGACAATTGGACCTGCAGTGCCTGGATGTCTGTATTGCTCTGAGGAAGTAAAGGATAGAGGATGATGTTTCACAGCAACTGGAGTGCAAGGTCTCCTGGAAGATTTCCTCATCTCAGACGGAGACAGAAGCTTACGAATCTTCCTGTATACATGAAAACAAAAGTAACCATTTGGTTAAAAATACAGCTTTCAAACATACTGATCAAACTATTTATGATACAGTAGTGAGATGTAATTCTTTAAAAAACTTTGTTAGCCTCTAGATGGGCCATAAAATATGTTTTGCCCACAAGATATACAGTCAATTTACTTTACAGTATCATGATCAGGTGCTAGATCAAATGCAAGGATTATTATTATTATAGAATTAAAACTCAAAGCTCCTCAAGTTAACTGCCACAAACGCAATCTGATAAAATCTTGCACTTATTTAGTGCTTCACAGAGACACAACACAATACAAAATTACATTTGTAAAGTGACTTTCATGTCGGGAGGACGTTCGAAGGTGCTGAACAGTTAAGGATTAGGACCCGAGCGGGGCATGATAAGGTTGTATTGAGCAGACAGGAGAGGAAGGAAAAATGGAAGGTTGTAAACCAACATCATGGTGAATGAGATAGGTTTCTAAGAAGATTGTGAAGGGAGAAAGAGCAAAGGCAAAGTGATCAGAGAGAGTTGCAGTGAGAGAGGCCATAGTGATTGAAGGGTCAACCACCAGTGGTAGGATGGAGTGGGAGGAAAGTCAAAGGCTGAGACTGAATGGTGAAAAAAAAAGTGTTTATAATTCTAAAAGAATAGACAAAATGAGCGTATAGAACTTATATCTTTGCTGGATTCATCATTTGTGAAAGGACCTCATTTTAAATTTAGGTCAAAGGGGATTTGGACTGACTTGAAGAAAAATATCTTCCCACAGGAAGCAATAAGAACCTTGAATGCACTGCCCCAGAAAACCATATATGAGAAATCAGTTAAGGGTGTTAAGAGAACGATTGATAGATTTTTCTGATTTAAAAACATTAAGAGATAAATGATAGGAAGGTGGAATTTGGAGAGTTTGTAGCATGTGGTCCATAGAATGGACTATGGCAGAGTGGGCTGGGTAAATTTCTCCTGTTCTTAATCTTCTATGTTGCTAGGAAAATATATAAAGGTCAGGATGAAGATCTTATAAGTGATCCACAGAAGCCAGTGTAGCTTTCCAAGCGTGAGGATAATGGGTAGTTGGATCTTACTGTGGAGAGGTATGCGAGCAGAAGTGGCTGAAACTCTTAGATTGGGGTCAGGTCTTGAAAACTATTCATTTTCAGCTTCTGTTTTGATGCACACTAGCACACTAATCATCAGTAGTTATGTGACCCAGACTTCAACAACAGTTTCACTGCAATAACAACAACTTTCACATATGTATAGCACTCTTCATGTAGAATACCGATTCAAAGCACTTAACCTATTGTACAATAATCCTAAATTACTAAGAGGAAAATTGAAAACACAATCTAAAATACCTGCACCTGTATCCTGATGTCCCTTTTCATTGCTTTTCTATCTTGTTTCACCTTTCCCATTATTTGCTTAAAAAGTCTATTTGAAAGTCTACTTGAAAATAAAATAAAATGCTGAAACACTTACCTTGCTTCCGACTCCCACCACCCCAAATGGGCAGTGGGAGAAAATTTGTAGTTTTTAAATAAACTTTGTCAGTGGCTGAAAAATCACACACAATGAGGGGTTTAAATGTGGGTGAATGACAGACAGCAAAAGTCAAGTCAAGTGGTGATGCAGTTTTTGTGTCTAAATCAAGGTGTTGGAATGCTAAGCACGTAAACTCATCAGCAAGCACTACAGAACAATCACATCCAGAAAAGTGAACATATTTCAAGGGTTAAGACCAAACATTTTAATGCTTAACCAGCAGCAATTAATCAATTTTGACTTTTGAACCATAACGGGTTGGTAACCACAGTGCCATTCCAACTGCAAAATGGGATGTCCAAAATAGCTGCGTGTCAACAACAGTGAGGGAAAAGGATATCAGTGAGGGAGCTTTACAAAGAGAAACCTTTTTTCACAGATTGTTGGCACGATCTGGGCATCAAAACTAACCTTTATGGACCAACTGCTCTATGCACACCTTCAAATACCGGTTAAGTATACAACTTATAAAGATGTTATCACACAATAAAGGCTCACTTTTTGAGGGGGGGGGTGAATAATGTTTTTTGCACCACAGTCCCAAGAGATTACTAACATTAATGGCTCTATGAATACAATGGTTTATTTGTGCGGAAAACTCCAATTTGGCATCAAAGGAGAAGATGAGATAAGAAAAAACACGAATGCTGGAAATCTGAAACAAAACTAGAAAATGGTGTAATTGCCATAAAACATTAATCAGTATCTGAGAGATAAATGCAGGTTAACGTTTTAGGTACAAAGCTCTGAGGAACAATTCTAACTTGAATCTGAAAACATCCATCATTTTGTGTTCCAATCTCACGAGTAGATAATGAAGCTGGCAGCTGAGCAGAATTGAATACTGAAAATCTCAAGGGTCTGAGCTCAACTTCACCTAACATGAATGGCGAGGTAAGGGGTCACCATGAACAACTTCCATCTAAAGAACAAGAAGCTTGCACACTCCACAGTTTCCCCTCTCCACTGTGGTTGATTTAAACAGATTCTCCAGTATACGGCTGGCTACAGTTTGATGCTGGGAAATCACATTGCAGTACATCCGTCATGACACACAGCTTGATTTTAGTCAACGCTCTTTGTGACAACTGCATTTCCACAAGTGAATGTTCATTCATGCCATTTTTAAACTGCAGGACCAGCAGCATGCACTGTTGTGCTAGGCTGGAGGAACTGTCAGTTTGCGCCACATCTGCTGAGTTTATATCACTCCACATTGGGGGCGGGAGTGGGGTGCAGGGGTTGGGGGGTTGCTTGCAGCAACATGACAACCATCTGCTATCATCAGACAAGTAATGCACGAGAAAAACTAATAGTAATTTATTTGCACAACTCTGCTGCTCAAATAACAACAGTGGCAACCTTAATCTCAGCTATTTCCCAGTCTTCAACAGGTAGTTGGACAATAGTGTGTGAGAAATTAAAACTTGACTGTTTTCATGGTGCTTATGCTATGTCAAATGTTTTATGGAATGACATTGGGTCTGATAACTGTGGCATTGATTCTTTTCATTATGGAATCAGATCTCTTCTATGCGAATGGAACAGGGGAATCAGACATCGTGAGTTGGACAATGCAGCTGCTTTTCCTCACAAATTGCCTGCAAAGGCGAGCCCGTCTGTACGCAAAATCCAATATGAAAATGGGATGTTTATACTGCAAATAATCTTACTTAAACAGACACATTGTACTTAAGATATTATTTCTGTATTATTAATTAAACCCTACATACCCGAAAGTACCCTTTGTGTTAAACTCATTGACCTGTAACACTTTGCTATACAAGATTTCAAAAGCATTGCCATGTTTTATCTTTAATAAACTAAACATGATGAATTGCCTAGTTAAAACTAGTGAATAAAGGTCAGGACCCTGTCCAACACAGTCTTCTTCTTGTCCTTTGAACTCCATAAAAAAAACACGATTTTGGTATCAGAATTTAGTGCTACTGCAATTACAAATCACTACAAAAGCAAATTCATCCAATACAGAAAGATCTACCGAACGTGGGAGTCAAATGATCTTTGTCATCACTGACCAAATGTCCTAGAAACACTCAGCATACCTGCAACATTAAGTAATGTGTCATGTATCTGCACTTCACCAGTATGAATGCATAGTTATCATTCTGAGTAGATATTACACCTGTATTGAGTTTAAGTGCCTGATGACTCCAGTATAGTGCTTTGTGCTTAGCTTCAACCAGGCAATCACAGGCACATTGAAGGTGATCAATATCTAACCTTTGCAGTGTGACATGATCCTGGTTCAGTCAACTTTTTCACACTTCAAATGACCTTTGTTGGAACTGAATAATCACTCCTAATCACTGCTGGTGACAAATGATTAATCACAGCTTTCACTGTCAAATCCAAAGGCTCTGAATCACAAAACCTTAATTTCTCTTGTATTTTGAAAATATCGAACGAAAAATGACTCAATCTTTTTCTATAAAATAGAAGAAAAATAAAGAATGGACCGAACATTACTTTGAACAGCACCACAAGAACTTTCAGCTCCAAGTTGAATTTTATCTTGACTCATATTGCAATTCAGAAAATGGGTTGATATGGTTCTCCTGCTGTGATAAAAATTATAAAGATGTCTATGAACACTACTGGAGACCCATTAGATGCATTTATATTTTAGCTCAGGTATATATTTTTAGTCTGGGGATTATTATAAATCATTTTTTGACTATCAATTTCAGAGTGTTTCAGATAACTACACATAATAATAATCCTTGAATTTGATATAGCGCTTTTCACGTCTTCTAGACGTCTCAAAGTGTTTCACAGAATATGCTGTAAAGTGAATTGACTGTATATTTGTGGGTGAAACGCGGCAGCCAATTGTGTCCCACAAACAGTCATGGATTGAAAATGACCAATTTATTATTGTTTTTGTTTTTGGAGGGATTATTATCAGGTGTGTGGAGTAAGGAAACTTGGTCCAAGGTTTTGCCCAGCCTGCAATTGAACCCAGATCTCTCACTTGCAAGGCGAGTGCTCTAACCACTGAGCTAAATGGAGTAAACAATGAAGTGGAAATTTCTAGCTTGCAAGAAACGTGATCGAGTTCTGCAGTGATTATGCAATCCAAAGCACTAAAGCATTGTTGTACTATACAGCTGATGTGAACAAAATTTCTTGGACAATTAACAAAGAACACATGGAATTATCAACCAAACCTTCTAACCAAGGTCAAGTGTCAATAACCAGTGTGTGATTACACATATGCCCTGCAGACCAAACTCTTAACTCATCTCCCACTGTGTTCTCTGGGCCATTACAAAATACCAAGAAACAAAGGAAGACTGGGCTTGAGCTCCACTCAACAATTTGCATTTATGTAGTACATAGAGAGAACGGCTCAAATTGCTTTACAAAGACAGAGTGGGAGTACGAGCTTAGGGGGAGACATGGGGTGGGAAGGAGGTAGCTGAAGGCACAATCATAGAGACAGATCTTTGGATGGGTTTGGAAGCAGAAAGAGAGGGAAGAAGTGGAGGGATGTCAGAACTGAGTTCCAGAAGAAGGGAGAATTTGAAGGTAACATACACTCAAAACAAACAATTGTATTCAATAATTACACAGAAGACAGCTATAAGCAGGAAAGTAATATAAATGAAGACTATTACTATAAGTATAAAGAGAGGGGAGGCTGGATTTTTGTCCCTACACAAAGCTTAGTTAAGATGTTACTTAACTAAGCTTGTGTTACTATTAGTGCCTACCCAGCTGTCAATAGCATTTAAAAGAAAAATATGAGGATACAGGAAATGAGCAGGTAAATTAAATCGTGCAGATAGCTCCAGTGGGGCTGAATGGGCCCTATGCTCAAATTTCTATAAGTATCTCAAGTAAAACTGTATGAATTAATATTTGGGAGAACCATGCATAATACATAATACACATGCATAATTCGGATGGTTTGCTAAAACAGCAGCGCAGTTCTCAATCCTGTCCTCTCAACCAAGGAAGGTGAGGGGTGCAAGTAAACTTCATGAAGCATACAAAGGAAACACACTTCATATGAAATGTTTCCTGGGACTGGATACTTTACAAATACTAAAAAAGACTTTTTCAGGTATTAAATGATATAAAATACTAGTTTAAATTACCCATTGGATTCTTGATCAATAACTAGTTCGAAAGCAGACATAACGAGGTGTGCATCTTAAAAAGCAGGGCTCCACATCACCTCCCAAAGTTGGTGCAACACAGCACAACAGCAGTGGAAAGATAAATTCATTTATTAGCTGAAACACAGCTAGATGAAGAAATATTGTGGACCAGACAACCTAAAGGGAAAAGAGGAGAACTCTTGACATTAAAAGAAGTGTTTAATCATATCAGCTTTGCGCAACCATCTCCTCATTAAACACATGATTCAGTTGCTAATTTCACATTCAGCAGGATTAGCATTAAAAACGATATACAGTATCAGCGGTGTACATCTTTATCAACTAGAGGGAAAAATATATGAATTGCATGTCTCCCCTGCATTTACATTTCCCAAAATATGGATCATTTCAACCTGGTCCTTCTTCACACCATTTTTAAACAAAAGTACTAAGAGGAGCTAGAATGCAAGCCTGCTTCAAGTGGTTATGATTGAGCTGTACTAAAGCAAGAACCAGGTGGCTACATGAATTTGTAGTCAATTGGCAAAACAAAAGAGCTGTCGGATCCACTAAAGCCACAAGGAGACATTGCTGAACTGAATTACAACAGAGAGATCAGTCTAGCAAGACAACCTGGATAACCTGAACATGTCACAGTGGGCTCCCATACAATGGCTTCGGTCCTGAGAATAAGAATTGCTTGTTTCGCACACTATCGGCGGGCAGGCCTTCCGTACTCTGCACCCACCCTCTGGAACTCCATCCCGCAGTCCCTCCATCTCGCCCCCTCCCTCACCATCTTCAAGACCCATCTTCAAGACCCTCTTCTTCAACCGTGCTTTCGATCTCCCTGCGTCTCCTCCTGCCCTCCCCCACCCCGACCGTCAGCTCCGTAACTCTGTCTGTCCAGCGCCTTGGGACGTCCTCCCGACGTGAAAGGCTTTATACATATGTAATTTTGTTGTTGTTGGTTGTTTCAAAGTACTGGTTTCAGGTTGTGCGGTTGGCTAGGGGTGATGGAACTGCAACATTGTCAAAGATCGAGTGGCCTGACAAAGAGCATTGTGCCTCTGCTGCCTTATTTGCTACTAGCGCAGTTCAGGATTCAGGAGAACATTGCTTATGGATGGTGATAATTTATACATTTTCCACAGTTGGGTCTCCTTGGGCTGAGCTGGTTTCAGTGGTATATTGGAAATGAGTCGACTCTCCTTGTTAGTGTCAGTGGTTTAGATCCTGAGCCATTCAACAGTAGTTTAAAGTGCTGGTTAATGACAGACTAGACAGCCTGGAACATCGGCAGAACTTGGAAAGACAGGCCAGTCATTGGGGGCAGGAAATCTTCCCACTTCGGTGCAGTTAGCCCTGCCTTTGAGACGTCTTGAAGATGTGATAAGGCACTATATCAAATGCAAGGATTGTTATAGTATTATAAAGCCCTAATGGGTATGATGGTTCCAGTTGAACAAGCAGCAGGAAGCTTGCCAGGCAGTATTTGAAATGGCAAGCTACACAGTTTTACCTGGTTAAACTCCAATTGTACCCCCATGCATATTGTGGGATCCCCCAGCCTAGACTCTTGTCAGCCTGCACCTGATACTTTGCAGGATTAGTTAGGGTTGTCCCTCCAGAAAGAGCGCACACACTCAGTGTAGAGTGCATCTATGGTACTTTTGGTTTGGATACTCTTAAGCATGGCAATGGGTTTCTGCGTGTGTCAGACACCCAGCTGACCAAAGAAAATCTTTTCAACATTAGTGATTTTAAGTTATAGAAATCTGATGAGATCAGTTGGTCCCTAAGCTACTTCTTAGTAGCATGAGGCAAAACAGGATCCCATTTTGTACTTACTGTTGCTATTATAAGAAAGTAGTTCAAAATTCTAATCTGATTTCCAAATGGGAAAATATCTGTGTAAAGCCTGCCTTAAAATGCACTCAGCAATGTTAGTTTACACTACAACTAAAAAAGCTATGATGTGAAAGCTATACTACACTGCAATAAAATCCTTAATAAAGTGTCATTAGATCCTGTCTATACTGGCATATTGCATTAAATATATTTCGATAAATTATAGCATCCTGATGTGTACAAGTTTGATATCAGATGTGTATAAATGGACAGTGATTTTCATTGGTAATGTGATTGTAGTAAAATATTCCACACCAAATAAACACCAAGTGCATTTTCCTTTGAAAAAAAGGAAGCTTATCTTTTAGAAACAATTCTGCACATTATTAAACAATGGGTATGAAAAATACCCATTTAACAACTTAAAAGGGTATAGTCGCTGTTTAGTCATGTTTTCTCTTTCCAACTATCTATCAATAAAGAATACACATTGGAAGATGTCACAGTATGAATTGTGTGCACATTACATGAGATGCAGGCTCTGTCGCTTCTCCCCAAAGGATTGACTATCCAGCATGGACACTGGTATTTGCTGCAGGATGGCTTTCAAGTGACATTAAGTGGTAGGAAGAGCTGGACTTACCGTGAAAAGGTGTTCAACTGCTTCAGCACTGAAATGAAATAAGCATTCAGTCATTTAACAGGAGTTCTTCATACAGACATTTTCTCAGCTTGTAGCCCCATCAAGAGAAAGTGCGTCAGATCTGTTGCTGACGTGTCTCTTTTGGCCAATTAAAACAGAAAAGTTGCAGCCCACTGAGATTACGAGTTAGCTTTTGACAGTCGTTTAACATTTCTTAACAACATCTGAAACAATTTCTTATCTCTCCAAATTTTCATAACATTATGCAGCCATTTTGGCCAACCTTTGATCAACAATATTTTAACAGTACATTTGAACTTTACTAAGGGCTCCAAGAAGTATCCCTGTATAAATTTAACTGAAGATTTGAATCTTCAGTAATTACAAAATGCTAAAGGACATTATTAAAAGCAGCCCCACACAGATTACAATGGATTATTAAATGCGGATCACTAGATAATCCAGTACTGAGCCGCTGATTTCCACCGTAAAGATTTATATAAAAACAAAGCTCTTATTTCATGTTTTCACTTTAACTCGCCCTAGATTTACAGATTAGTATTCACCATCATAATCCTGCGTACAGATATTTGCAAACACAATCATTAAACTCAAATTTACAATCCAACGCAAGCCTCCTGATAAGATTTTAATCCTATCTTGAGAAAAAACAACTGATAAAAATTAGTCATTTGTTTTCAGGATTTTAGTTATTATACTTTAAAACGGTCCATCATCAGATTTGGCTGGACCACATCAAATCCTACCGCTTCGCCCTTGCCTCCGCTACATCGTCGTTCTACTCCAAGACAATCTTGGAGGCTAAGGACGACCCAAAGCTCCTCTTCTCCATCACGAATCAGCTCCTCCACCCACCCTTTCATGCCTCGCCCATCCTCACCTCAAATGCCAACTCTGAGGCGATATTGGACTTCCTCAAATTCAAAGTCGAGGGAATCCGCTCAGCTGCCTCTGCCACTGCATTTGCTAACCCCTCCCCATCTCCTCCTCCCACCCCAGCCCCTAACCACCCTCCACACTTTTGAACCTGTCTCCCCCTCCTCTCTCATCACCACTTTAGCCGTATGAAATCGACCACCTGCACCTTCGACCCCATCACAACCCCTAACCTTACCTCCCCGCTCCACCTCCTTGCCCCTCTACTCACTGACATCATAAACCTCTCCATATCCTCTGGTAATGTTCCCATCCCATTAAAAAACGCTGTTGTCACTCCTATCCTTAAAAAACCCTCCCTGGACCCTTCTCTACTCCCTAACTACTGCCCCATCTCCAACCTCCCCTTCCTCTCCAAGGTCCTGGAGCAAATTGTTGGTTTTCAGCTTCACTCCTTCCTCTCCCGCCACTCCTTTCTCGAACCCCTCCAATCGGGTTTCCATGCCGTCCACAGCACAGAAACAGCCCTGGTCACAGTGACAAATGACATTCTGTCCATCTGCGACCAGGGCTCCCTCTGCCTCCTCGTCCTCTTTGACCTCTCTCCTGCTTTTGGCACCGTCGACCACACTATCCTCGTCCACCGCCTCTCCTCTCACTTCAACCTCCATGGCTCTGTCCTTGACTGGTTCAGATCGTACCTCTCACACCACCTTCACTTCATCTCCACGAACAGCTTCTCCTGTAGCCCCCGGACCATCTTGTGCGGCGTTCCTCAGGGCTCTGTCCTTGTTCCCCTCCTCTTCAATATCTATATTTCCCTCTTGGTGACATCATCCGCAGACATGGGGTCAACTTCCACATGTATTCGGATGACACTCAACTCTATCTCTCTGCTCCCACCCTTGACTCCAGGACCACTGCTGTCCTAACTGAATGTCTATCGGACATCAAGTTCTGGATGAGAGCTAACTTTCTCTAGTTGAACGTCAACAAGACTGAGGCTCTCCTGATTGGCTCCCATCAGCGCCTCCTCACCTCAGGCTCCGACAGCATCACCATCTATGTTTGCACACTCCACCTTGCTAAGACAATCTGGAACCTTGGGGTCTCGTTTGACCCTCAACTATCCTTTCTACCTCACATCTGCGCCATGACCCGCTCTGCCTTCCCCCACCTCCGCAACGTCGCCCGGCTCTGCCACTGTCTCACATCGGAGGCTGCCGAAACCCTCATACATGCTTTCATTACATCAAGGCTTGACTATGCAAACTCACTGCTTGTCGGCCTCCCCAACTCCTCCCTCCACAGGCTGCAGATCATCCAGAATTCTGCAGCCCGTGTCCTCTCCCTCTCACCCCCCATCCTTGCTCAACTCCACTGGCTTCCCATCACACAGAGGATACGGTTCAAGATCCTGGTCCTCACCTTCAAAGCCCTCCACAGTCTTGCCCCACCTATCTCTGCAACCTCCTAACCCCCTACCATCCTGTTCGCTCCCTCTGCTCAGCGGGCTCCAGCCTGCTTCATGTCCCCCACCTCGCTCGCCCTACCATTGGCGGGCGGCCCTTCTGCCACTCTGCCCCCACCCTCTTGAACTTCATCCCTCTGTCCCTCCACCTCGTCTCCTCCTTTGCCACTTTGAAGACCCGTCTCAAGACACTCCTCTTCGACTGCGCTTTTGATCTCCCTGCTTCCCCTCCTGCCCAACACCCTCCCCCCACCCCCAGCTTGGGTCCCTAACTCTGTCTGTCCAGCGCCTTGGGACTTCCTCCCGACATGAAAGGCGCTATACAAATGTAATTTTTTTTGTTGTTTAAAAACCCAAGTTCTTTGTTTTGATGTATGAATATAATCAAAATAATATTCATACATCAAAATAAAGAACGTGGATTTTTAAAGTATCTCATCATGTTAAAACAACCCAAAATGTTTTCTCAAGTAATTACGGTCAACTGTAGGGACTGGTTTTGTAGGTAGGGTCTCAGACACAGCCATGAGATGAATGCCCAAGCCTAGAAGAAAGAACTCCCACAAAATACATAGTTACTACAGTTTATAATATGTGTTGTGAAGCGCTTTGAGACATCTCGAAGATGTGGTTAGGAGCTAAATCAAATGTAAGGATTATATAAGTCTCTTTTTCAATTGTGTAATGGGATCTTTACTCTCTATCTGACAATAAGCAGAAAAGACCTAGACTTAACATTTCATTCAAAAGACTGCATCTCTGACAATGCAGACCCCTTGAACTTGACTTAAATGCCAGACTATGAGCTCAAGTCTCTGACATGGTGCTTGAACCAACAATCTTCTTATCTACAGGTGACAGTGTTGCCAAGTGAGATAAGGTGACACTTATTTGTGGATGCTTGACATTTTGGGTAAAGCCAAGTAATAAGAAAGGAATTGAAATTTCCACAATTTTGTTCAGCAATCCTTCCTGAATCTAGGACTTAAAATAGATTAAGTATCTTGAACATTGAAATGCCTTGCCCAGTATCATGTATTTTTGTAGTTTATGAACTGCATGTCACAACTATTTCAAACACAAGCCACACAATCTCCTATTTGAAATATCCTATGTTAAATCTTGTAACAATATCAAACAAAAAGCCATGGCCAATTTGTATTTTGGGAATTGTTGGCTGGATACTGAGAGAGTAATATGGGCTCTTTAGTGTCCACCTGAATAAGCAGACTCAGGTTAACATCTCATCCAAAGAACAACAACAATGTTCATGAAGGCATCAGATCGAATCTTTGATAGTTTCCAAGTTAGCTGTTCTTAGCTGCGGCAACTGTGGATATTTTACCATTAGCATCATCTATGCGCGAGAAAAGAAATCAAGTCAGCATTCCTGAGCCGCTTTTGTATGGATACTGGGGGAGGGCAGGTTCAAACTTTGCTGCAATAGCTCTCACTATCGACTAGTTTGCCAGTACTCACTCTAAACAAATGCAGATGAATAATGGCCAATGGGGTGACATACCAGAGAGTCTATGCCACTTCAATATGAGTCACACAGCCTTCAGGCAAGATTCAAACACAATTTGGAAACAAAATATTTAAATCAAAGTAAATAGACTATGCTGATATTCAGCCCAATTTCCCTAGCATATTAGAAAAGACAAATATTCAATATTCAATTCTCCCTGAACTGATAGACAAGCACAAATCTGCTGTGATGATTTGAACCACTACATCACCCTCAACAATAAACACAAATTGAGGTAAGCAATTTCCATTCTGCATGTTAACAGCATTAAGCATTTCCATTGATTTCATTTTCTAGGGTAGGATTAATAATACTTCAAAGTTAAGTTTTTTTCCAAACAATAACCATGGCTTAACAGCGCCGGAGCCTGACTCCGAGCCGGCGGGAGGGGGGCATGGTAAGCATGGTCGAACAGGAAGGTTTACGAGCAGAAGCGCCAGGTGATGGAGTGAGGAGTGAGGAGGTCGGAGAATTAGGGAGGTGGCAGAGAGTGAATGGATTTGAACATGAGAATGAGGATCTTAAAGTCGATCCGATCGATGATGGGGAGCCAGTGGAGTCTCGCCAGAACTGGTGAGATGTGGCTATGGAGTTTGGTCCAGGTCAGTATGCGGGCAGCAGAGTTTTGAATGAGCATATTTCCCATCATAGAAACAGAGATTTTAAGCCTAGAAAGAGGCCATTCAGCCCTTCATTTCTGTGTTACTGTTGCCTATTTGCTCTATATCACTTTCCTTTAATTAATCCTATTTACTGTCTGTCAGATGTCAAGTCCTGGATGAGAGCCAATTTTCTACAGCTGAATGTCAGCAAGACTAAGTTCCTCCTGATTAGCTCGCACGCTGCACCTCAGGCATCGGCAGCATCACCATCCAGGGATGCACACTCCATCTAACCAAGCCAGTCAGGAATCTGGGTGCCTTGTTTAACCCTCAACTGTCCTTTCTCTCCTATACCTGTGCCATGACCCGCTCTGCCTTCCCCCACCACCGCAACATTGCCCGAAACCGCCCCTGCCTCACCCCTTAGGCCATTGAAACCCTCGTACACGCATTCGTCACCTCAAGGATCGACTACGGAAACTCCCTCCTTATTGGCCTCCCCAGCTCTTCCCTCCACAAGCTGCAGATCA